TTTACTCTTCAAAGGTAAAAACTACTTCTGCCCAAAGCCCCATACAATTCCAATGAACCTTATGTAAATGTAGAATATGTGGCTCTACATATTTGTTGTGTCCAGCAAGAAAGAACAAGAAGCTGGAAAACATTTGTTTTATCCTACCCCGCAGGAGGGAGCTGGTAGATGAAACACAGCTATGATATCTACAAGAGACAGACTTGGAAATCTGTCTGGAGCAGTCTAGAATGATATTCTACATGCCAGAGGTGTGATGTTTAGGAATGCAGCATCACCAACTGCTTTTGAGCTCCTTGGGGATCACTGTAAGCTTAGGGGCAGAGGTAAGGGGGGGTCTCTGTCTGCAGTGTCCACAGGAACAAAGGGCTGATGGCTTCTTTCAGACCTCCAATACAAGCAGGAGTGGGGGAGAAAGAGGACTTCTCTGTTTCGTGGCTGCTGAACATGCCCTGCCTGCCAAATTCCACTGCCATGCTCCACAATCAGAATAAACAGGATTTAGAGGATGTATTGTGCTAGCTGAGGGCCCTGGGAATCCTAAAAAAGGAAAGATTAGAGATGCAAGGTGTTGGAGTAAATCTTTTCCCAGAATAAACTGGGGTGTTCTCTGGCAGTATGATTCTTTCACTTTACCCCACTCCAGGCCTGGGATAAATGGCTTAAATAGGGGTAGTAAGAGCTGGGGCCCAGGCTTAGGCCCCTGACAGTCTTTACCAGAGTCCTGGTTTCCAAATTAAAAGAGCAAGAAGTGCTGGATTTTTCACCAGACACCCATGATTTTGAAATGACATCTTTCCTGGCAAAAGTCATCGCTGGCTGGAGAACTTTGTGGGCGTGGAAGAAGGGGGAAGATCCAGAAGTCCAATAAAAGCTCATGTCTTGTTGAATTTTTCCTGCCCAGGCGTGAGTTCTTCCAGGTGAGTGGAGAGAACAGAAGCACAGAAGAATTGTTTTTCCGTAGAGCGAGTGACTGGAGGTTGTGAGGCTCCCACACACCCACAGCATACACAGCTGGATTGAGGGAGCTGGGTTTGAGGACTCATGTCTGCCTGAGGGCAGGGATGGCTAGATTTAGCAATACAGCAGGGAGTTTCCAGAGTAGCAGGGACAGTGTTCCAGCCACACCCATAAAAGCATCCTGCTTCCTTCAAACTTTGCATTATTTGCTAGTCATGTTATCTGTACTTAAAGCATATAAACTTTCCCAGGCACAAAGTGGTTAACATCCATATCCCAGAGCTAGGGACCTACTTAATTCATGGTGTTGTGGATTTCAGAAACATCAAAATCCAGGAGTCTGCTGTTGGCGGAGCAAGTGGGGGGGAAGGGTGTGCAGGCGGCACATGCAGCAGAGTTCACCCAAGCACTGCAGTCTGCACTGCCTTGAACCCTGCCCCCTTGCACAGGGGCAGGCTATGCCATGCTCCCACCAGCACCCACACCCCAGCCCTGTCAGGTGTTGTTCTGCTCCCCCTGCCTCCAGCAGTGGCTCCTGCTCCTGATCTTGCCCCTGCTGCACCATGCTGTGCTGCTCTGGGTGCGTGGGCAGCTTCATCCAGGCAGCTCCTGCCCCAGAACATGCCAGGAAAGCAGCCAGGAGCTGAAGCCAGAGCCCCACACACTGGGGCAGGGGCTGCTTGGCTGAAGCTGCTCACCCAGAATGGCACATCATGGCACAGCAGGGGCGGGAGCAGCTTTCAAGACACTGTTCCTAGTTCAGCTGCATCCAGCCAGGTGCTGCTCTACACCCCACACCTCCAGCACTGGGTCCTGCTCCTGCTCTGCTGCTCCATGCTGTGCCACTCCTGTCAGATGGGCAACTTCAGCTGGCCAGGCCCTGCCCCAACATGCAGGCCTCTAGCTTCAGTTCCTGGCCACCTTCTGGTAGAAGGCAGCCAGGAGCTGGAGTTGGAGCCCCATGCACTGAGGCAGGAGCCACCTGGCTGAAGCTGCCCATCCACTCACCTGTAGTGGCACAGCACAGTGCAGCAGAGGCAAAGATCAGAAGCAGGAGCCGCTGCTGGAAGTAGGAGTCTCAGAGCAGCACACAGCTATAGTTGCACCAGAAGCTGTGCAAACTGGCTGGGGTCAGGCTATAGGTGCCAACGGGAGCTCAGCACAGGTTGCTGTAGTGTGAGCAGGCAGGGCTTGGCCCCATATTGAGTACTGTGAGGGCAGATGCAGGCTGGATCCAGTCACCTGGCAGACTGAATTGGCCCACAGGCCATATTTTGCCCACCCCTGCACTAGATCATAGATTTCATAGACATTAGGGCTGGAAGGGACCTTTGGGTCTAGCCCCCTGCCCAAGGGGCAGGAAGTCAGATAGGGTCAAAGGATCCCAGCAAGATAAGCACCCAAATGTTTCTTAAAAGTGCCCAGAGTAGGTGCTTGCACCACCTCTGGGGGGAGTTTGTTCCAGGCCTTGTGGGTTTGGACAGTAAAGAAGTTTTTCCTTCTGCCCAGCCTAAAACAGTCTTGCAGGAGTTTGTGACTGTTGGACCTTGTCATCCCTTGGGGTGCTCTGGTGAATAGGCATTTCCCCAGATCCTGATACACACACCTTATGTACTTATAGGATGCCACCAAGTCACCCCTGAGCCTGCGCTTCTCCAGACTGAGAAGTCCCATAGCTCGCAACCTGTCTTCATAAGCCCTGTTCTCTTGCCCTCTGATTATGTGTGTGGCTCTCCTCTGGACTCTTTCAAGCTTTTCCATGTCCTTCCTAAATTGTGGAGCCTGGAATTAGATGCAGTACTCCAGCTGCAGCCTCACCAAGGCCAAGTACAGCAGGAGGATGACATCCTGGGTCTTGGTAGATGCAAGCCAGAGTTTTGTTTGCTATGACAGCTATGGTATCATATTGGTGGCTCATGTTCATCTTGTGGTCAATCAAAACCCCCAAGTCTCTTTCGGTCATGGTGCTAGTGAGTGTAGCATTGCTAAGCCTATAAGTGTGATGCAGGTTTTTCTTCCCCAAGGTGGAGCACCTTGCATTTTTCTGTATTGAATGTCATTAGGTTGTCATCTGCCCACCTTGCAAGCCTATCAAGGTCAGCCTGGATCACCAGCTTATCCTCAAGTGTGGATACTCTTTCCCAAAATTTTGGGTCATCAGCGTATGGTGTCATCAGCGAACTTAGCCGGTTGGCTTTTTATACCAGAGTCCAGATTGTTTATGAAGACATTAAAGAGTACAGGTCCAAGAACGGAGCCTTAGGGGATGCCATTAGTCACTGAGAGCCATGTTGATTCGGTTCTGTCAACTACCACACTCTGGGTCCGACCTTGGAGCCAGTTCCCCAGCCATTGGACTGTAGTGTAGTCGAGGCCACAGTTGGGCAATTTACCAGGTCAAAGGCTTTTTAAAAGCCCAAATATATGATGTCAACCTCTTCCCTTTTGTCCAGGTGATACGTCACCTGGTCATAGAGGGAAATGGAATTGGTCAAGTAAGACCTACTCACTACAAACTTGTGCTGCCTATCCCTCAGAATGTTGCCTTCTGTTAGCTTGTCAAGAATAGTTTCTTTGATAATTTTTTCCAAGATCTTCCCAGGTATTGAGGTCAAACTGACTGGCCTATAGTTTCCTGGGTCTTCTTTCCTCCCTTTCTTGAAGACAGGCACCACATTGGCCCTTTTCCAAGTTTCAGGTACTTTGCCTGAGCACCACAAGTTCTCGAATATCCTTGCCAGCGGCTGCACTATGATGTCTGCCAGTCCCTTTATCACTCTTGGGTGCAACCTATCCGGACCAGCTGATTTGTGGGGTCCAGACTCTCAAGATGCTCCCTCACAAGACACATGCCAATGGTGGGTATATATTCACCCTCACTCTGGTCATCCCGCATCATGTTAGGCAGGGTGGCCCCTTTGGGCTGGTGAAACACTGATGCAAAGTAATCATTAAGCAGATTGGCTTTTTCCTGGGTGTCAGAAATTCCTAGATGATCTCAGCCTGGGATCTGACATTGCCTTAATTAAAAACAAAACCAAACCCATTACTTCCCACTAGGTTTGCAAAGCTCACACAACTAGCCCTTACCCAGAGAAAGAGATGTTTAGAAAGAAAAGCATCGTGTTGTCCATCTTGTCTAAACACCACATTTAGAATGACTTCCACTTACAATACATTTTGAATGACTAAAAATGTATAGTAGAAGGCAGCATGTAGGAAAAAAAAATCATATCACAGAGACACAATGTGAACAAAATTTCTTTTAACTGAATTGAAATTCACAAAAACAGGAACATGGGCATGTGCTCTGAGCAGCTGAGAGTGCAGCTAGCTGAGTCATGGCTGGGTTATTGCTGCCTGTCTCACAGAAGTCCTAACGAGGGGGCAGAGCCAGTCCAGGCCCAGCAGGGTGTAAAAGGAGACTCCAGGAGCAACCCAGGAATGAGTGAACAGGGACAGCAAACAAGGCAGTTTGCTTTGAGTAAGAGGAGGAAGAGGAAGAGGAGCCGGGCACCAGGCACCACATCCTGTTCTGGGACGGTAAGTGAGCCAGAGCTGTCTGTGCGTCAGGGTTGCTGACTGCTTGTTTGGTGGGCTGGTGTTTGGGCATGTGCTCTGAGCAGCTGGGTGTGCTGCTAGCTGAGTCATTACCAGGGATCCAGGTTTTCTGTTTCCTGCAGAAAAACGGGGTTTTCCCCTTTCAAGGAGAAAAACGCGGATTTTCCTTTTTGATGCAGGAAACCATGGGTTTCCTCTTTTGCAAACAGCTCTCTGCAGGCTGACAGAGTTCCAGTCTGTAAGAGCTGCTTGTAAAAAGGGTGGGAAATCCTAAACAGGGGAGCCTAGGGGGAAGCGGTGGAGCCTGAGAATCTGAGTCAGCCTGGGCTGGTCCAGACTCACTCACCCCAAAGCCTGCAGGAGGGAAAGTAGGGCAGAGGGGGTGGGGGGGCTTCTGGCCCCCCCC